GAGCGGTTTTACTTAACAATGGTAATGGTAAAAACATATTTATAACTCTCTTTTACTTTCTCTCTCTTTATTTATATATATATATATATATAATATATATATATATATATATATATATATATATATATATATATATATATATATATATATATATATATATATATATATATATATAAAGAGAGAGAAAGAAAAAAAGAGTTTTAAATAGGTTTTTACCATTACCATTGTTAAGTAAAACCGCTTCTTGCCCATTGTCTGTTGATAGAGAAGACAGATTCGCTAAAATGATATTTTTTTAATAAAAAAAAAAAAAAAATATATATATATATATATATATATATATATATATATATATATATATAATTTTTTTTTTATTGAAAAAATATCATTTAGCGAATCTGTCTACTCTATCAACAGACAATGGGCAAGGAGCGGTTTTACTTAACAATGGTAATGGTAAAAACTTATTTATAACTCTCTTTTTCTTTCTCTCTCTATATTTATATATATATATATAAATATATATATATATATATATATATATATATATATATATATATATATATTATATATATATATATATATATATATATATATATATATATATATATATATATATATATATATATATATATATATATATATATATAAACTTTTTTTTATTTAAAAAATATCATTTTAGCGAATCTGTCTTCTCTATCAACAGACAATGGGCAAGGAGCGGTTTTACTTAACAATGGTAATAGTAAAAACATATTTATAACTCTCTTTTTCTTTCTCTCTCTTTATCTATATATATATATATTTTATATATATATATATATACATAAATATATATATATATATATATATATATATATATATATATATATATATATATATATATATATATATATATATATATATATATATATATATATATATATATATATATAAATATATATATATATATATATATATATATATATATATATATAAAACATATATATGTTTATATGACTTATATATATATTTATATATATATATATTATATAATTTATATATATATATATATATATATATATATATATATATATATATATATATATATATATATATATATATATATATATTATATATTTATTTATATATATATATATATATATATATATTCATATCATATATATATATATATATATATATATATATATATATATATATATATATATATATAAAATATATATATAACGCTAGATCGACTTTAAGTGGCCTTTTGTCAAAATCTTTACTGAAAGTGGCATTTTACAAAACCTTCGAAATTTTTTATTAAAAATGCTTTTATTAAACAAAACCAAGTTAAAAAGTAATCTTAAATGGATTTTAAGCGAACGAGAGTATTGTATGCCAAAAAAATGTAAAAAAAAAAAAAAAAGTCCACTTAGCGTTTTTTTATCAGTTAAGGATCCACTTAACGAAAATAGTAACGTTAGATCGACTTAAAGAGGACTATTCCACATTTACTTAATATGTTATACAATAATCGAGGTAGTTTAATTTTCGAACGTAGATTTCATCAAAATTGTTAAGATGAATAAACATCGGGATTGTTAAGATAAATAAACATTGGCATTTATGGTATGATAAAGAGACTGGGTGGGATAATTCTTTTTAAGTAAGATTTATTGAGAACATGTGTAAACTTTGTCTAATCATAGTCGTGAAAAGAATTCTAATGACTATGGTCTAAAGTGGATTTATTGATAACATAATAGAAAATTCGTTTAAAATAGATTTAATAAAAACGCGTTCGAAACTTTGTCTTAAATGGGTTTATTTAAAACGCGCTTTAAAAACTTAATTTTGCTGAAACATGTATAAAATAAAACTTAAAGTGGATTTATTTAAGAGATGTTTAAAACTTCGCCTAAAGTGGATTTATTTCAAAATGTTTAAAACTTTACCTAAAGTGGATTTATTAGAAACATGTTTGAAAACTCAACCAATGTAAATTTTTTAAAAATATGTATGAACTTAGCATAAAGTGGATATATTTAAGAGATGTTTGAAAATGTTTATAAAAAGATTAATCTAAAATGTGTTTTAAAATTCTCCTAAGATATATTTCTATAAAATTTGATTAAAATTTAGCTTAAAGTGGATTTATTGATGAGATGTTTGAAACTTTGCTCAAAGTGGTCTTTATTAAAATATGTATGAAAAGTTCGCTTAAAGCAGATTTAATTTAAATGTTATTAAAAACATCTCTTAAAGTGGATTTAATTAAAACATGTTTAAAAATTTGTTTTAAAGGGGTCTTTATTTAAAATGTATTTAAAATTCGTCTTCAGTAGATTTTTTTAAAACATGATGAAAATTTAGCTTAAAGTGGATTTATTTAATTTATTAAATACATGTTTGAACGTTAACTTAAAGTGGTTTACCTAAAATTTGTTGAAAAGTTTTTCCAAAAGTGGATTTATGTAAAACATGATTAAAAATTTGTATTAAGTGTACATGAAAACACGTGTTGAAAATACGTGTAAGTAATACGCGTAATACAAGTTTCCACTTTTATCTTTAAGGTAAATCGAATTTTCTCAAGTTAAAAAAATGGAATTTCTATGCGTTTAGAATCTAAACGAATGAAAAGTTCAATTTTCAACAGAGTTTTGTTTTTCTTTTAATAATAAATAAAACACAATCTTTTATATCTAAACTTTAGAGAACAAAATCCATTTAGATTGGTTATAAAAGGAAAAACAAAACTCTGATGGTATTTCAAATGTTTTTATTTCAGTTATTTTTAAAACGTTTGGGATTATAAACTGCATTGCTGATTGGTCATGTTTACGGAGACTGAAATCTTGGCCATAAAAAATTTATGCTTCGACTCCTAACTTTCAATGTAACATGTTATTATAAAAATATTTTTATAATAAATGAGGCAACTCTTTTGTTACATATTATATAATTTATAGTATAAGAAGTACTAAAATTATTAGTATAATTTATACTAATAATTTTAGTATTTCTCAAACGAAGTAAATGAAGTTTTAGTCACTGTTAAAAGCTGTTCCGTTATTTAAAAGAAATTAAAAAAGAATAGATGGTTTTGGTAAAAAAAAAAAAAAATATGTACCGTAGGGTCGTTCGAGAAAAGATCTTGATGATGTGAGGGGAGGGGGTTAGAAAGAGGGGCAATGTATCTGTTTTTTGCCAAATAAGAAAAAAACAAATTTTTTTGCAGACTAACGCAGTAAAACCACTTAATTAGGACCCCTTCTACCCCCTTGTACGAACCTGTACACTTTCGAAGACCCCTCCCCCTCCGAGTACGTACGCGATATTTTTTTTTTCAAAGTTACTCAATTTTCGTTTCGACTTTTTTTTTAAAGAATATAAAAAAAAAAAAATTGTGGCTGAAGTCAGAAAAAATAACAATTCTGATTTGTTACACACGTGAAATTAAATGTTTAAAAAAAAAATCATGTTTAGGAAAGATCAAACCGCGTACGTACTCATTGTCTTTAACACCACCTCCCCCCCCCCCTCCTCTTGTACGCGTTCGTACGCTTTTGGGAAACCCTCCTCCTCCATGCCTGCGTACGTACTTTATGGATGGCCCCTTAGCTAACATTTGCTGACTACAAATCCAATTTTGTTGACTCTAGTGTCAACTTTTAGTACCAAGTTCCTTTTCAATATGAAACTTATTTTAATAAAATTTTGGAAAATATTTTTTAATTTTTCACTTACATCTCACATCAATGCAGACCTTCCAACTCTCCAGGTTTGCCGTAAGACTCACTGTTTGATAACAAATCTCACGGTCTCACGGTAAATCCAAAGTTCTCACGGTAAATTTTAAGAATTACATTCGCTCAAAACAATATAAATTACGAAATAGGTTGTCGTTACAACAAGAGCTAGTAAAAATTGAATGCACAAGATTTTAAAACGTGCACCAACAAAGAGCTTTTAACATGGGTTTGTTTATATTATAAATCAAATCTGATTTTTTAAAAAATGGCGACAAAGCAAAAACATAACAACATGTTTAGCTTAACATGGTACTCAAATTACCTAGCTGGGCAATGATTTTATGATAATCCTTTTAAAGGGGCCAAAGTAAGATAAGATTTTCGATTAAGTTTTTATTGATTAACAATTATAACGGTTTTTATTAAATAATTTAATTAAATAATAAGGGCTAATTCAGCTTATTTTCGTAACACTCAATGCAACTAAGGCTAGCCTTAGTTAATAAATAACAGTGGTTAAAATAATCTTTCTATAAATACCAAATATGTCATACTTTTTGATGAAAAAACTCACATATATTGTAATTGAATAAATATATATATTTAGTTCGGAAAAACGTGTATCAAGCCGGCTTGATACACGTTTATATATATATTTCAAGCCGGCTTGAAATATATATATTTATTCAATTACAATATATGTGAGTTTTTTCATCAAAAAGTATGACATATTTGGTATTTATAGAAAGATTATTTTAACCACTATTATTTTCTGTTAAAAGTAATGCGATTATAACAAATTGTTAAGCGTAGTTTTATTTAGAGAAGATGCAACTTTTAACATAAAGTACCTTGGGGGCTGTCCATTAATTACGTCAACAAATTTGTGGCAATTTTTATCTTCCCCACCCCCTTGTCAACAACTTGTAAAACTTTCAGTGATTCCCCTATAATATTACATCAACATTCGATAATTTCCCCCCCCCCCTCCTCCTCCTAAAAATAAACAAACAAAAAAAAACAATGCAAAACAAAAATTAAGATAAAAAATTTTTTTAAATTGACTAGTTTAATTTGATTAATTGACAAATTGAATCGATTACTTCTTCCTAGTTTTTGGTATCCAGGAGCTCTAGTCATATAAAAACGCTTATGGAATACTATTTGTAAGAAAGTTAAGACTTTTAGTTTAGAGGAACAATCTCTTTTTGAATACGGAGTCCTTAGGTACTTAGCATTCTGAGACTCCAGAACTGAAGGTTTAAAAACAAAATCTTTTAGGTCATTAAATTTTTATTTAGCAGATAAACCAACATGTTTAGAGCTTTTGGACACCAGAGACCAGGAAAAAATAGAGATACTAAGCCGGAGTTCTTTTAGGATTTTGCATTCCTGATTATACTAATATTTGTGCATGTCGAGAAAATAAAATTTGGATGTCAAGTTGCAGCTAAAGAGCTTCATCTTAACATCAAAAGAATCACAAGAGGCTTGCCAGCTGCTGTTTGTATAAATGTTTAAACAATATAATGTAGACAATATACTTACATGAATGTTTTTTGTTTGCGCATCAACTGAGACAAACATAACTTTGAAAAATAATAGCGTTACGAGTAAACATCTTGTGCGTGGGTATTTATTTTTAGTTCTGTACGTCGGGTCTTTTTAAAGCCAAAACGGTTTTCACAAAAAAGGAATACAAATAGCTTTATTAAAATACTGAAGGTTGAGCTGAAAAATTATCCATTAAAAGCCATTTTTTTGTGAACAATGAAGTTACTATTTTTAATACCACACCTAAATAAGTATGTTTAACAATAATGTCACGTTAGATTTAGATAACCTATGGTAGTGTTAATTTTTCTACCAAAGTTGTTTTTGCATAAATAGTCATAACTTTTAGCCCCATTTAAAAAACCGTTTTCGATATTTAGTATCATTTTTTGAAATACTCGGGACTTATTAGGCCATCTTGAAATAATAAATTATTACGTTAACA